AATATGTAATAGAAGGTTCACGAAGTGTACAAAAGGAGTAAGAAATGTAGGAAAATGAACAATGAATGCAAATTAGCAGATTACTGAACACCAAAAAAAATGATATTCATATCATTCAGTAAGTGAGAAACACTAAAAAAAATCAATTTACAATCCCCATAAAAATGAGACTGACCACACACTTCTTTATCCAGAAGTTCAGTTGAAAGTATTTTACGGCAATCGCTTCTGTTAAACGCAATGGTTCAGGTATCTTCTATATATTCCTTATTTTGAAAGCACTGGAATTTTCAAACTAGTCTCATGTGTCGATGAGTTGTCTGACAATTTCACTGGTTAGAACATTGGTTTTATCCAAATATAAATTCCTCTGACTATTCTTTGTGAACTGATTGAATGCCTTCTTCTCAGTTCTTTCAACGTGCTGACTGGATCAAGTGTATGTAAATTAACAAATGTAGCTGGGGATTGCATCAGCATGATATTTATCTAATTTGAACTAGTTCAATGAGCATACGATATCGTATACTGATAGAATTTTGGCTACGTGAGTCCTTGTTCTTAGTGCTGCTTTGATTTTCGTGTCTATTCTCTTGGATTCCTCCTCCCCCCGCCTGTTTGAATCAATATCTGTATAGAAAGTTTAGCCTTAGATCATCACTGCATTTAGCAGTCCATAATCCTTCAACCAATAGACAGTAATCCACTGGTCACTACTTTCTGAATTTCCCCAATTCATCCTTCACTATATACCATTAAATTGAAGCTTGGTGGCTAATTGATAATATGATGATCACAAAATGCAATACTTCCAGGCTGAACCCGATACGATATTCAGCGTAAACAATAGCGAAGTAAACTTAAAGAAAGGTAAACAGAGTTGTTCACTGCTTTTAGCTTTCTGCTGGTTCTCTAGTTGACCGTAGTCCTATAAAAACTACCTTACAATCTTTTCAGTTGAACAATATTCAATTGACAAGTCTAACAAAGCAATGCTCACGAACAAATAGTAGCATATTTAACAAATTGTTTTCATCTTTGTATATGCTATGGTTTTGTTTTACTGCAACAAACATCATGTTCTCGTCAGTAGATGTAGTTTAAACGTGTTTATTTGATAATCCCCTACTCTTATCAGTAAAGTGCGAATAATTTATATATATATATATATATATATATATATATATATATATATATATATATATATTAAATATCCTTGGTATAGCTTTAAGGATTAGATAGTTGATATTTTTCTGTCGGTGAGTGAATATCTGCGTCGACACTAGATGTTTCAAAAGAAGCTCCGGATTAAAGGTATCACATTATTTTACTGTTATCTAATGATATTAATTGATTTTAATATTCATGAAATATGATGTACAGCAGTACATTCATGACAACTGGCCTTTCATTCACTCCTTACCCGCTTGCGTACATGATATTATCTTTGGAAAAACTCTTATTAAATCGATTTAATTCTTCCGCTAGGGTTATAGTCTGTCTACTAACCCAACTTTGAGGATTCAGATGTTCATATGGCATTGTTGAACTTGATATTTTAATTTAAGCTACTATTCATAACAGGAATGGAACCTGAAGGTCCTAAGTTCGAACCCTGGAGGGGTCGTGTGTGCGTACTCCTAATGAGTTCCATACGAGGACAAAACAGTTTACCAGTGTTCACAGATTTCCAATAATTCTCCAACTAATATCAGTCTGTGATAGTTACTAACTTGAAAGCAATAAATGAATCCTCAGAAACTTCAAATTGAATATTTGAGTTCATAATTCATTGCAAATACCAACATATGCCAGGGGAAAGAAAAAAAATGTCTTTTTTCCTAATGTCATCAGTTTGAAGATATTTCCTTGATGAAGTAAGAGAAAATTTATTGTAAGCATCTAAAGTCGACTGTATTTGGTTAAATAAAGTAACCCAAAGTCTAAGGATATATGCTTAAATTCGATGTTATGACGACAGTTGGCTATTTATAATTGTCATGTCTAAGATATGTGAGGAAGATGAAACTGAAACGAGCATATTCCTTATGGGTTTACACCAAGCTAACAAACGATATAAATAATGGTAACCAACTACAGACACTATTACTTTACAACATACTGGTAATTTGTAAGACACATAGTGAAGCCCTCTTTTTTAATTATTCACAGTACATTGACTTTTTTTCATTATCACTTCGAAATAATCAGTGATACCGGTTTGGTGGTTGTTTAGTTAGTCCATATCCTGTTGTGCACATCGTTTTCATACATGTGTCTAATTAGAATTCGTCCTTATTGCAGATCACGTTTTGGTCGACCTATGAAACTGGTGAAGGCCTAGAAAATCAAAGCGAACCATAATAAATTATAATAGCAACAAGATATCCATGATGTAAAATACATATATATGATGACTTAATGGCTTGAACAATAAAGAGTTGTCAATTTAAATTTTAAGATTACAGGTTTCGTTTTCGGCTGAAACGCGCATTCTAGAATGAAATACAAAATTAGCCATGAATTTCTACTATTGTGGATCATATTCGAGAACTAAAAGAGACACGCTCATAAAAATTTATCACTGAATTAATCCATCATTTATTTTTGAACACAGTTAATGTTACTAAATGTTTCCTTTTGCAAGTTTCTAAGCACCTGTTATCCTGAAATAACTATATAGTGTACGTATTGCAATCCTAAGACGTGTCAGTCTTCTATAGAATATCCCATCTGCAAATTTTCAAAATGCTAAACTGGATGGCATCCTTTTGCATTTCTCACCGGAAATCAGCTGAACTTAAGTTATATTTATAAAAAGTTGAAGGGTTCAAAGGAACACAAAACTCAGGTCTTATGAGTTTCATTGGTCGCTTTCATTTGCATAATTCCATCTTCGACTGGTCATTAGTGATTGATGGAGCAGAGCTCTGATATGGCACAACTAGAAAAGAGTATAAGCATATTCTGAAAACCAAACCCTAAAAAAAATAGCTGATAAAGGAGTCTATTACCTTACTATTTGTCCCTTGGGTTCCTAGTGGAACATACAGCTTCAGTAGCACTCTCCCATTCTACTCTCTTCTCTCCAGTCTCCTTAACATGGCTACACCACTGCCCACCAGCTTCCATTTCTTTCTCAAACGATCTCCCCCATATCACCATCACCAAAGACGCTCAACTCGTCGCTTCCCATACTAGTTCCATTCGACGGCCTGTCCTGGCCCGATGCGTGATGTCCCCAATCTGTCTTCTCAGTCTATGTCCAGTCCAGTCCAATCAAATCAAATCCATCTCCACTCTCTTCCTCTGCATATTTGTTCGGCGAAGGGTTGTTGGTTGGTTCCTTGCCAACCAGAGTGAGATCCTTATTGCATATACTTTCTGGCCATCTATACGATCTTCAGTATCGAGTGAGAGAGCGTAGGTGGCAGCTGTTGTTGATGTATGTCTGCAGTTTGTTGGAAATGCCTTTCGTAACTTGTCGAGTCTCTCAACTACTACATGGAAGCACTGACTTACTTGACTGAAATTAGTATTGAAAATCCGGAACTTGTTAACGCTTTATGCTGAGTGCAGTGCAGTGCAGTGTAGTGCAGAGCAGAGCAATAGATGTGCACACTGATTTCAGGTTAATGAAGGAAGGCCTATCTTGCTTTTCCTATACTGGCTTTGACATCCCCATCTGTGTTTGTGACGCCTGTAGTTGAAACGATGCTGTCTTGCCTGGGTAGTTGAAAGAGACAACTTCCTTTAGATTGCTCCCGTTGATGGTGATTGGTGCTTGTTGTTGGTTGGGTATCACCACCACCTCTGTCTTCTCTATATTCACTTGAAAGAAGTCCCATCTTCGCTGCCCTGCCTCTTCTGCCAACTTGTTAGTTTTCGTCCGTAGATCTTCGAGTCTGTGCCACAAGACATTAGACATAAATCATCATCACTGGCAAAATCCAAATCTCCTTCTGGTGTCTTTTTATCGGTCCAGCCAGCCAGCCAGCCTATGCCCCTCTTCTCACAGCTCGTCACACTTTGTTGCATGATCCAGTCCAGTTCCGTCCAGTTGACCACAATCACGAAGATGATCGGTGATAGTAAGTGGCAACTTTGTCTTACTCCTTCCTGTCTTCACTTTTAAGCATCACTGAGCTTCCCATTGTGAATCACTTGGCATGTGGCATCTTCATATAGTTGTTGAATGAGGTTGATAAAGGCTTGTTGCACTAAACCGTAGTGTTGGAGCAGTTGCCAAATTTCTTCTCGATCGACGCTAAAAAAACCTTATCGAAGTCAATGAAGTTGAGGAAATGTAAAGAGTTGACTGCCATTCTATGCTGTGTTCTATTATGTTGCGAATGGGTAGCACTGGAACTTGATCCCCACATGGTTTGTTTTTCCTGAAGTAAACTACCCAGCCTGTTCCGGTCGTAATTTTGAATGCAGAGCATTCTTCAGTCTCTCCAGGATGATGCTGCTTAATATTTTCCTTGGTGTGAATAGGGATGAAGCATGATTTTGCACCAGTTCTTGCAAACACTTAGGTGGTCATTCTTTAGGAGTTTGACAAGGTGGCCCTTCTTCCAATCAGTGAATATGTACCTCTCCTTCCTTCCTTCCTTCCTTCCAAATCTTCTGCAGTAGTGGTGTGAGGATGTCCGCCACTGATGTTTCTGCGTCCGTTTTTAATGCTTCTGGTGGAATTCCATCTGGTCCTGCTGCTTTCCTCGATTCCAGTAACTTGATGGCTTTCAGGACTTGACTTCTGCTTTTGTTGGAGGGTTTGTGTTCACTGGTAATCCTGTGGCTGGGTGTGCTGCTGGTGATATTTCTGGACGAGTTGCAGGTGGTTGTGTTGTTGTTGGTGGTGGTGATGGTGGTCGATTCAAGAGATACTTGAAGTGGTCAGTCTACCGTTTACTTTGTTTCTCCTCTTTGGTGTTGACTAAGTTTCCTTCACCATCTTTCATTGGTTTCATCTGTGTTGATATCTCCCCTCCCATACGGAAACCTGGTTATTTGATATGGTGCTGTCATGTCTCCGTTCCCCTTACCAGCAGCCTGTTCTACTTTAGTTGTGAGTGTATCGATGAAGTGTCTTCTGTCTTTGAGTGCACTCTTTTTCACTTCTTTCTCCGGCGTAGTGTTTTGCAACTTGTAAGTCGATCCGATTTTCAGTGTAGTGTGTCCGTCTGGTGAATGGTGAAAGCAACTTCATTTCACTTTGTGAATATCTTTGTGTTTGTACACACTGCCTGACTCCAATCACCAATTGGTTGAATGTGCAGAAGTCTGCAAACACTTCTCCATTCTCATTCATCATCTCACCGAGTGCCTCTCCACCCATCATCATCATCATCAGTTCTCTTCCTGTGTTTGCCACTTCAAGTTCGGCATTCATGTCGCCCATTGAGATTTTGATGTGGCCAACTGTGTTGTGGTCATGTGGATTACTGATTGCAGTTGTCAGTAGAATTCCTCCTTCTTCTCTTCATCTCCATTATTTGTAGGTGCGTAGCTTAACGTATCACTGAATGATTGTGGGTTTCCTTCCTCTTCAGTTGAATCCATCTTGCTGTCATGATGCTGTTGTTGGAGGAGGAGATTGGTTTCCACTGCATGAGAGCCTTTGATGTTCTTGGAGACATGATGATAGCCACTTCACAAGTCAGTGTGCTCTATCGTGGTAGTTGTCTGGGTGACGATATCGGAGTAGATTATTGACTGTGTAGTTGACAGTTTGGAGAGTCGACTTGCATTGCATCTGCAGATTCCTCTCAGATTCCTATCACTTATATGATATATATTTTCTCATTTGTTTTGGAATTTGTGCATCCTTGGTATGTTGAAACACGGTGTGGATATTCCATGTCGCTATGTTTATTTTTGCTTTCGTCGAGAGAGAGAGAGAGTGGAGACACATCGGTGAATTTGTTTCGTGAAGGCTTTTACCAACTGGCATCACTTTGTCTCACCGATTCTTGTAGGGAATCAGTTGATTTTTCATATTTTCCTTGTGGTTTGAGATTTTTTTTAGCAGCTGGATTGGTTCTCCGGGATAGGGTTTCTAGCCCTGCGCCCAACCTTGTTATCCTAGCTCAGGACCCTCTAGTAAACTAGGCGAGGTTGATAAAGGATTAAGAACCACTTTTTTATTTTCTGATTATATTATCTAGCAACAGAGGAATAAACGCCCAAACATTCGTGACTGAAGCGTTCATTTTAAAGGACGCAAAACTGCTGAAGTCATCCTCCTCAGCGACAAATATTCTTCATAATCTCTGAGACTATCTGGAATGGATTTCATTATTCATTCAGTATGCAGTTGACTGATTTGTTTCTGTGGATTGAATTTGCCCGGAAACATTTCTGAAACCTTTGCCCCTAACAAATGAAGTAGTTGTTCCTTTTTTAGATGGCTCTGATCCAACTAGCGAAATATACAGATTAATGTGAGTTGTTTCCAACTACTTATACTGTTCATTAGCAGATTAGATCACTTCATAACCATTTCGTGACACCTGTTTTCGGATGGTTGATTTCTGACGGAAACCCTGTTGATGCCCCATTTGGATCATTTAAAAAACCACTTGAGGATGAAAAATGTGTGCAATTTTTAAATAACCCTCAAGCTGAACATTTATGTTTCACAGACTTTTTGTCGTACAGTAGACTGGCTGATGTTTTAACCCATGAATAGAGTTGTAACAAGTAAGATTCTGTAATCAATCTATTCCCTGGCATATTTGAACCTAGGGAAGAAAACTTACTTCTTCTACTGAACAACAAGTAGGGAAACTATGAAGTTCCATACTTATAAATATTTAACAAAAGACTAACTAACTACACTGTAGGAGCATGCTATCAGTGTGTCCAAGAATACTGTCAACAGACTCCCAATGTTTCCTCAGAAAATAAAAAAGCTTAGTTTTTGACAGTCTACTGTTGCTACTCGTTTCATTAGAGTATGTATTATTTTGGGAGTATTACTAGGTTCTGCCTGTTTAAATAATTTTAATAAATGTAGTGATGGATTAATTTGTAAGTTTGATAACAAAACTTAAGAGTAGACCGCATTGTTAATCCTTTAGTTATTCATGATCCTCGATAAAATTCCTTTGGAATACAAGTGATCTCAGTGAGTATAACAGCTTACACTGTTGAAGACTAATTTATTAAAAAGTAAAAGTTGTGATATTGAAGATAGACAATGAGACAGATTAACATACAGAAGACATCTGTAAGGATTTACGAATATGCAGCAGGTGAGGATTAAAATAAACATAAGAAGGATTTCAGCAGGTTGGAAACAAATCAGCTTACAGTAGTATGCTTTTCAAGGTTTAAGTAAAGATCATAAATAAATGTATCTGACTGGATTTTTATGATCCTTCAGGAACTGGATCGACTGACGTCTTTGTTAACATCCTACAATCCATACAATAAAACATTTTTGAGATGAATGGGGATTTTTTAATTTAGAAGTAGCATTCATCATGGACTGACATCAGTGAGAAACCATTGAAAATCTGGGAGCACTGGACAGCTGCTTCGTCCTAATATGGGACTCCTCAGCAGTACGCACCCACGACCCGACTAGGGATCAAACTCAGGACTTTCAGGTTTCACAGCAAACACGTTAACCAGACAGCTGTCCAGTGCTCCCAGATTTTCAATGGTTTCTCAACTGATGTCAGTCCATGATGAATACTACTTCTAAATAAAATATTTATCAATAATTTTAATACTAACTGAAGCTTTATACTAATCCTACAGTTTGTTTTCGAGTTAGATGTGCAGTTCTCACCATGAACTAAAAGTCTTATAAACATAAACTATGATTCTGAATTATACTGAAATGCGATTACTACATCTTGTTCACTGTTGGAATTTATATTTAACAATACAAACGCTATAACACACAAAGAAATCCATAGGTCTTTATCTTTTGTTATGAAAGTGGATTGAAATTGAAATATTATTATTATTATGTCAAGTATTCTCCTCAAACCGCCTGGAAATCATCACAAACTAAGAACAAGTTATAATAATCCTTTGTTTATTTTTTTCTGTTTCATATAAAAGGTATGAATCGTGTGAACTGCAAACGACGTCTATCAAATCCACGTTTCAATAAAGTTAACTTCAGAACTACATCATGTATAGATATATATACACATTCTTATGTTTTCAAGGACTTATAAGGATTTAGGAGACTAAAACTATGAAAAAAAGAGTTAATCATCGTATGCAGAATTATTACCTCCTTTTCATATGATGGATACATTTAGTGTATAACGGGTAATTTACTCATTTGTAAGCCTACAAATTAGTATATTTGTATACATGAACACTTTTGTGTTCCAATCTAATATACTAAAAAGATTTCTGTTCCTGCTATAAACTTTGAAGATTTTAATTTCCTTCTTTTTGTACGAAGTGGACAAGATTTATACAGATTTATACATTTCACCCTACTACATACTGCTTTCAAAGTACAGAATCGATTCTCCCACCCAATTATGAATTACCTTTTTTGATTCATGAAAACAAGAAAATACTTCATTTCTCAAATTTTCATTTACTTATTTCAATGAGTATATAATTTATCTATACCATCTGTGTACAAAATTTTATTGTCTTGAATTTAATGAATAATATATATTTTTTAAAATTACAGTGAAAATATTTTTCACATTATCCGTAGTCGACTGATGTCAGCCCGTGATGAATACTACCTTAAAAATAAAATACTCATCAGCCTCAAGGCATAATGCTGTGCAGTGCTCATTAGTGACATCCTTCGGGAGTTACATTCCGAATTTCTAAAGAGAAGCTACGATTTATGGCGTCAACCACTCGAAAGTGAATCGGGTCTCAAATGAAGATTTTGGTGGATAGTCACGCTGTATGGCGAATTGACATAGGGAGGAAATAGCGGACCATTAAACTTCAGTGCACTAACTAAATGATTAATGCGTTCTTTGTGAATTCTGAAGGCCATGAATTGGGTCCATGGTGAGGTTGTGGGCGTGTACTCCTGAGAAATCACTTACAGGGACAAAACTCCTATCCGGCCCTCCCATATTTCCAATGGCTCTCCTCCTACTGTGAGCCGGTGATGAATACTACCTTAAAAATGAAATCCTAATTAGCCTCAAAATACAATAAAGAATAAGTTCATTTCATACATGGTTTATTTATAATTGATGTTGACTGGTCTTTCGCTCCAGAAACCCGCAACTCATTAAGAGGATGGAGATTTCATTGTTCGAATAGAATAAGACGGTGACAAACTCAGCAGACCTTTGTGAAAATTGGCTCCTAACGTCCAAAATCAAAATACAGTACAACGTAGTGTTATATCACTTGGCTTAGTGATCGAATTTCCAGCTCAGCTGATTGACAATAAGGCTTAGATGGTCACACTGCTTCATATGAAATGTGCTGTCTTTTAAATATTGTGAATAAAAGCCCATAAATGTTACTGGTATCTTCAGATTCTGTTAGCTGGATAATTCAATCGCGACCATGGAAGTAATACTAAGGTTGTTTTGATTCAGCTTAACTAGCGAAAACACTTATTCTCTTCAAGTCATACTACTTAAAGTAAACAAGGTTGTAGCAGAATAAACCATGGGAATAGTACAACTTGGTCATAAATTAATAAAAGACGATTCTTGAACACTTAACTCTGGTCATTCTGCTGCACTATAAATTTCCATCATAACCCTTAGGCAGTCAAATCAAACGTTTCGAAGGAAGTGTAGACTTTTCAACTGAACACAGCCTTGGCGAATCATCAGTTCAGAAGTGGTCTCTTATTTTACTCTGTTCATTATCTTTCGAAAAATTCTTTCATACTGTTCATCGATATTACTGTTTTCATCCACTTCCCTCACTCTATAATTGTTAATTTCAGTATGTTTCACCTTTCTTACCCATTCTGTTACTTTCCAGGTTGTTGCACAATCACTTTATAATTCTAAGAACAATTTTTGATACATTCTACAAACAGACTTTGAATTGGCCTTTTAGTCATTACTTCGTTATCATAGGAACAATTTTTCATGACCTCGTGTTGACTCTTTAGCCATCACTGGTGGTATATTCTCATCGAAATTATAAATACTTGCGTAGAACTACTGAAAATGATTCTGCGAAAAGAAAATTTTCTTAGCAGAATAAACTTCTGAAAGTCCAGTGAATACTACATTCAGCAAAGTTATCTCTCCCTCCTATTTTATCTGCATGAATATCGTTGAGTGATCAAATCTCTCAACATATCAAAGTATTTGAACAACTGTGGACGTGAAACGGATTTTCGAAATGTAGAATTTTCGTAGTAAGACGATTGCTAGGGAATTTCGAGCAGCTTGGCAATCAGGCCACTCAGCAGGTGAATATGTATAGACTCAGTCTATTAACTAATAAGAGAAATAATAACCTGGAAACCATAAGTTTGGCTATAGAAACGACCAATAGGAACATATATGTGATTCACATAATTCATTACAACCGCTAAAAACAACTAATCACATATCATTTATTCAAGATAAGCTAATCACTTGCTGACCGTATTCCATTTCATACTAAAGTTAGTACTAATATTGCCTAGAGGAACAGAGAAAGGTTCGTGATTAAATCGTCTAACTGAAAGGACGCTAAATCACTCAGGTCATCTTCCAGTACTACAAATAGTTTTCTTAATCTCTAAGAACGTTTACAAGGAATTTTGGCACTCAATAACTGTAGACTTATGAACCAGAGACTATGTGTGCTAGCGTCAAGTGACTAATCACTCGATCACTTCACTTATACAAATAAGCCAATCTTCATGAAAATTTCATTACAAATACTAAGGTCTGGTTACTCACTTCCCAATGTATGTTGTTTTGACCATGATGAAATTTTTACTCTTTGCAGTTGCCACTGAAATTGTCTCACATTAGATCGTATATATCTGGTTAATTTTCCATTCACAGCCTTTATTATTATTATCATTACTACTATTATTTGTCGCTTGGGTTCCTAACGGAACATGGGGTTTCAGTAGTACGTCTTCATTCCACTCTCTTCTTTGGAATCTTTTGAACCAGGCTCCACGACTGCCCACAACCTCTCATTTCTTCCTCACACACCATCTCCTCCATGTCACCCCCACCTCGGACAACCAACTCGTTGCTTCCCATCTGGGTTCCACTCCAGGGCCTGGCCTGGCGCGTGATGTCCCTGAATGGTCTTCTCAGTGTATGCCCAATCCATCTCCACTTCTTTCAACTGCATATTTGTTCAACGATAGCTTCTTGCTTCGTTGGTTCATCGCCAGAGTTTCTCCTTGCTTATTCTTACTATTCTGGCCATCTGAGCTTCAGTAACGAGCCAGCGTAGGAGGCAGTTGTTGATTAATGTCTGTAGTTTGTTGGAAATAATTTGAAGCCTAATTGTCCCTAAATGATCTGCCCTTAGGCTAGAAATGTGGTATTTATCTGGCGAAAGTAGATCAGTTTACGGTTTTATTAAGCCGTATCACCAGTGGTATATTAAAAAAAATGTGACACAGAAAACCCCAAAACGGTTATATCAAACTACAACAGTGTATTTAGACCATGTGACTTAGTCTATATTTTCTTACTGTGATCTTCAACATCACAAAGAACGATTGTTGGAAACCAATATGGTCATATGTTTGTAAACTGATATCACAATTTCAACCGCTTTCACTTCTTAGCTTTATACAAGACCTCCCAATATCATATATTCCTAGTAATTTCATAATTTTTCTTAATTTATTTCGCTGACTTTTCCAACTTCTTTTTTGTACTTTTTCTCTTCTCACTTCCGTTACACTGTACCTGAGTATAGCATATAAAGTTAATTCCTTGCCGTATCATTCTTTGTTGTCCCAGAAGGTCAGTTAATACCAGTGATAGTAATAAAATGCAGAATTACCTTTAAATAGATGAAACATTACGTCTTATCTGTATTCAACCAACTATCATTCAGTACTGATCAACAGTAGGTCTGGACATAACTCAATTAATTTAAACAGACAGGAAAACACCTTACAGTCTGTGTCATGTGTACAGTTAAAACTTGCAAAATAAGTGAAAGCAAGCTTAAGACTGAAGGCGTATCTTTTGGTTACAGAACGTTGCATACAACTACTTTCATACAAAACAGACTGTCCAATTCTTCGAGTACTCGAAAAAAGCGGCTCATCAGCTTTTGAAGGTTATTCCATCTGAAGTATCACAGTAAGCCTCAAACAACTGTATATCCCAATAACTCCTGTTCAATTTAAAGTACATGTCGTCAAAATAAAGGTAAATAACATTTCCCTTGAAAGAGATTTTCTAACATGACAGAAACATATATTTCGGTCTTAAACCTGAAGGCGGTAATACCACTAATAAATCCACCGACGAAACTCCCCATGTAATGTAGCCTGATATTTCAGTACTGTTTTTAAGGGTATTCTTAATTTACGTGAAATCTCTGATAAAAAGTAACAGAAAGATTCAATATCATGGTCTTAAGTAATTCGTTGATCGGTTTTCCTCGACTGACATAGTTAATGAGACTACCTGAAAGATAGGTGGTTTATAAAGAAATAGGTTGATTACCATGAAGATATTCTTCTGTTTATGTACTTCAAGGTCATCTCAAAATACCAGAATACATTTTTTATTTGATATAGTACACAGAGGTGTTTCTATTAGAATTTATTACTTATAATCATAAACTTTCAAACTTCACCTAGTTCAACGGTTCTTCATTCTTTCACTTTAATGGTAGTAAAAGTTTTCAAGCGCCTGCAATGTTTAGTAATTTGGATACTAATGTTCACAATAAACCAAAATACTCCAGTAGATACTTGGATTTCACATCGTCTCACAGTATACCTGTCAAACTAGGCTTCGTGAATCGTCGAATTAATTGAAAGAAAGAACTGGAACATACTGAAAAGAAATTACCACTTAATCACTACTGTCTAGCGTTTAATAAGGAGATTATCAGGATATGTAGGCCATAAAGTCTAAAAGGTCCAGTACAGCCAATCGAACAAAATGACTTAGTCTATCAAATACATTGTAACGATCATGAGGTCAAGTATATGGGTTAAATTAGTCGACGTGCTGATCCATAACCACACTGTGGTGTGACAGTTTTAAAACACAATATAACTAGGTGGAAGGAGAAATTGTCTACAAAATCTTTCTCCACTGAATCAACATCCCATACGTGTAACGGGAATCAGTCACCACATATTGCGGATATTTCAGAAATCTTGCCCCATTCAAATGAAAGTTACGAAGATGTTAGATTTATCTTGGTGACTAGCATAGGAATCCAGGATGCACGTTTCGTCCTATTTGGGACTCGTCAGCTGGATCTACCTGCAACCCAGTGAGTGATGTTGTTTCCACCAAGGCTCGCTTCAAGATCTGTGGGACTACATAAAGGAAGCTTGAAAGTGATGTACTTGTGAATAACACACTCTGCTGGAAAAGTCACTCAGTAAATGAATCTCTGTTCTCTATATCAGATAAACAATTTCATATGCAATTCCTTTCAACCACAGTGCTCAAGTTTCGCTCTTACATTAACCTCAAAAGTAATCTCAATATATTTATTAATTATACTTCTAACGAACACCTGATTCAATTTTATATATACATCCTCAGGTAGTTAAGTCCAAGTTGTAAGACTTTTTCAACACGATTATAGAATGTATACATTAGGTTGGAACAGAATCTAAAAGTAGCT